AAAGTGACTGCTCATTTCTCTAGCTCCAGGGTTCTTTCTTTGGGATTAGAATTCCCTGGTTGTAAAGCAAAGGCATTAATATAGAATATGAACTGATAGTGATGCATCCTTCTTCTTGCTGAAGAAATGCATAGAAGCAAATTCTTCTGTCTTTGAGCACCCAGAGGTCTGGGAGAATGCTAATGAACATAGTCCGTCTTAGCACTGTCAGTCCTCAGATACCCTTTTCCCCTTCTGTGTCCACAAAAACCTTGTATTGTAATTCAGTTTTCACAACCTGTAAATTAGCAGTAATGAGTGAGCATTCTTAAAAGAACTATCATACCCAAAATGCACCTATTAGATTCTTCAACAGCACAATTAAACTTGGCTGAATTCATGTAATCACAACACAGTAGCAGTATCTATTCTTCTGTTTCAGGAGGTAGATACAAGCTAACTCTGTCTGCCATACTGTTCTCCTTTCTAGCTACCTTGAGTTGCAGGCTGTCCCTTATAAAGACTTGCCTCAGATCTTAACTATTCAATTCTGCTCTTTCCTGCTTTCTTTGTCCTGATATCTTTAAAGATATCTGTCTCCAGGTATCTTTAAATTCCGTTTGCACAGGATGTCTGAATTGAACCACAACATACGGCACTTTCACCATTCAGTAATAACAGGAAATGTCTCCTTACAGCCTGACTTGCAGTTTGCAATAACATTGAAAATGGATTAGCCATGTGCTCAATTAATGCACTTGTTTGTATCTGAAGATCAGGTTAAGATCAGTAGACTTTCTTTTTGCTTTTTTACTAGGCTAAGTTTTGGTGAAATGTTTGCTTTGGGAGTGTTCCATGAGATAGAAACTGCACTTACGTCCCTATCCTTTTGTGCTTATAGCTTGAATAAGCTTAAAGTAGGTCTGTGCAGCAATTGGTTATGCTGCTGTTAAAGATGTATGTGAAATCTCCAGAATTTTGCCTGTCTTTTGTCACCATTCAGAACCAGCTCACTCATTCCTTGACCACGATGTGGGATCATTGCCTGGGTTTTGCACTGTTTTTTGCCTGAATCATTCTCTAGATATGTGATTGCTTGACTTTCCCCTCCATTATGAGTTGCCATGTTCTTTCCAGCACTTGAAAACAGAAATTTAAATTTAAAGTGCAGTTACAGCAACTTGAGAACCTGTTACGATTTCCTACCACTGAAATAAGCACAGATGTGTCCACTTTGTCATCTGCCTCAGAAATATTGCACTTGCCAAACCTGCACTGGTTGTGTTTCCCTAGAGCCTACCTTGCACCATAGTATCTGCTGTTTCTTGTAAATCACGCTACAAAATGCAAAGTTTTGTTGCTTTGAAATTTTCTGTAATAAAATAAATGTTCTTACCCCCAGTGAAGGTGCTCCACAACAGAGGAGCTTTTGAGCACCCTTGTGACGTTGTCTCTCTGAGCTAGAAGAGTTGGAAAGGTACTAGTGATAAAATTAGCAGCTTCACCAGCATCAGATGGTTTTCCTCTGTTATGTCTGAAACAACTCCAGCTTCCTAATAGTCCCCTACATGTATAGGGAAGAGAGGTTTTAGAGAGAATAAAAAGTGAGGTGAAATCAAAGAGCACAGTTTATCTGCAGTATGAGTATAGTGCAGGGCAGTGGCAAAACACCTGACAGTATTGCTAGGCTGGAATAATGATCTGCAAAGGTTGTTAATTATTATGCTTCTTTATCATCATTGTAATCTGTTCTGTTCCAAAGCAGCAGAGTTACATGACACAAAGAGAAAAATTCTCCTCAGAGTAACTGAATGTGACTTCAGGTGGCCGTGCTTCTGGTGAAATGACCTTGAGCAGTGCAGAAGCACACAGGGCAGCATGGAACAGAAATTTGCTCTTCCCGTAGCAAGGTGAAAGGGAGGATAAAGGTTTAATTATGAAATGGGAATGAAACAGGCTTTAGAGCCTTTCATCTCCAAAGGAGCTTGGTTCTGGTCTCAGTTTCAGTGTCCTAACTCCAAGAATAAATATTAATTTATATTAGACAGTTGCTGAAAGAATTCAGAAAGCAGGAGCAGGAAGTAAGAGCCCTTACCTTTTTGTGTAGCCATCCTACCTCCCTGGGCTCCCAGCAAATCTGCCAGTAGTCCCAGATATCATGGCATATAGGATTAGAAACCAGCCCAACATCCCTCCCCAGAGCTCCTGATGGGCAGGTGGTTAACACATGGCTGCATGCTGTAATTTCAAATGCTTTGAATGAAGAATTAGAGGCCAAGTTTACTCTTTTCTGGGTGAGTCTCCAGCTACCCACTGTCCACTCAGGAGTATCTAAAAAATGCAGTTAACTCAGTGGTGTTGGTGTGTCCTAAGTGCAGCTGGATGAACCCTGCAGGGGATTCATCAGTGGCAATGTGGTTGAAGTAGTAGCACCTTTTGGCACATACTGAGGAAGTTAAATACTGAGGAAGTCACCTCCAGGAAAGTTATGGTCAGGTCTGTGGGAGAGCAGGATGTGTGAATTCACAAACTGTATGGAAAGGAGACAAAACTAAAAGCTGTACCTAAAACTTTTACTTGGACTTTTAAAAGCAATTTCTTATTTTTAATGCAATAGAAAATATTTTATTATCTCTCCTAAAATGTAACATATTACTCTTTCACATAAGCAAATTCTCTTTTAAAAGGGGAATTTAATAAGGGAATCCTACATGTGGCTGTGTTGGAACTTGTTGGTGCTTTGTGCTTTGTTTCTACAAGAAAAGAGTAATATTCCTCTGACAGTAGTCTGTCAGTTGGTGCATCTGCTTTTGGGATATATCCCCAAGGATTTTTGGAGACACAGGAATTAGCTAGGAGTAAACTGAAATCAAGTTATAAGCAGCATTGTGTGATGCTCACCCATGACACATTTGTGTGCTTAAATTTGTTTCTGCCAGCACATCACAAATGATGATCTCAACTCTGAACTTAGGAGGAGCGATCTCCACCCTCAGCGCCTCTGACACATTTCTGATCAGGAAAATGCATTGCAGAAGCGAGCATGGTGCTGCTGCCACAGCTCAGGGTATGCTCATCCCGCTCACCCCACTGGTTCCGCTCCTCACCCTGGCTTCCTGCGGCATGGCCCTCTGTCCCTACTTTCAGTTTCACTCCTTTCGGCTCTGGGCAGATTGTTTCCTCATGGTTTCTCTGTGCTGACAGATTTGTGCAGTGCCTCGATGCCTCCAAACTGAAGGAGAGAAAGCCCACAGTGGTAAGTGCATGCCATTCTTTACTTCTTGGTAATAAATGAGAATATTGGAGGTACAAAGGCAAGTTTGGGCAACTTCCTTGGTCTTGGATTTCTCTTAATTTGCAAGTTAGCAAAGTCATATCACTGCTGCCTAATGTTTGTGCTTTGGTGCTTGTGCCTGGATGTAGTGTCCCCAGCTGGCAGGTGGTATTTTTGTGTTAAAAAAAAAAAAAAGGCAATATAGAATTTTAGAACAAAAGGGCAATATAGAATTTTAGAATACCAGGTTGGAGGGGTCCTCAAGGATCATCTGTTCCAATCTTTCTTAGCAAAGTATGACCTAGACTAAATGTGCCAGCACCCTGTCCAGCTGAATCATAGAAATGCCCAGTGCTGGGGAATCCACTACTTCCCTGGGTAGATGATTCCAATAGCTGATGTAGGTCAAATGGAAATGTTCCTCCCTGGGAGATATCACAGGCTCCACAGCTAAATTCTCCAGGTTTTTTAAAGTTCTTACTCCTAACATTAAAACTGCCATTCTTTCTTTTGCCTGTTAAATATTATGCTGTAACACTGTCCTTTGTCTGATAATGGGTGTGTGTTTTCCTCACTGTATCCTCAACCAAAGCATGAAACACCTAAAGTCTGACTCCAGACTTTCTGGAATGAAAAATGCAGGAAAAGGCAACCCTTCAGGCTTCACTGGAATTCAGCCAAAGAACTCTGTTTGTGTTTGTGCAGTAGGTTTCTTGTACTTTTTAAACTCAAAGATGATCTGGCCAAGGAACCTGGCAGCCACCTGATCTCTCAAAACAAACCCTCAGAAGGATGCAGGCCAGAGGTAAAGATTTTGTTATAGAAAAACAACCTTTGTTTTCGTTAGCTCTTCCAGCAGCTGGGGTGCAAAGGAATGAGGCAGGACAAGAGGTACTTTATTTTCCTCAGCTACAGGGACATGGGTGCCAAGTTCAGCCGTGGCTATAGTAGGCTAGGCTGTGCAGGACCATCAGGTTCAGTCATTTGCTGTCCCCTCCCCTTCCTTGTTTGTTATTGGCAGGTGAGTGGAAAGCCAAGGCTGTGTGAGCTGCAGGAGATGCATCAGGCCCACAAGCACTGCCCAGCCGGAAATTAATTTTTCATTAATGTTTTTTATAAATTGTCTTTTGCAGTCTTTTTTTGTATGCCTTTGCAATGCTTTAGGTCCCTCTTTCCTTTGCTTGTATCCCCACTCCCACTGGATTTTACTGGTGTCTCTCCCTAGGTGGCTAGGTTGCTCCCACAGATGCACTCACAGGGTTCCCCTCTGGCCACTGCAATGTGGCTTTTTGTCACAGGAGCAGCCCTAATGTGTGCCCTGTGAAAAGGCAGGTCACCTACAGAGACAGACTGTGCTGGGGTCTGACCTGCTAAACTCCTGTTTGGCTGTAGGTTGCAATGTCAGTTCCTCAGAGTGTTTTGTTACAGTAGTAAAAATCCTTCTCTTTAAAAGACATCAGTTCAGAAAGCTTTTTTGTTTTCTGTACAAATGCGCTAGTTTGATTTCATGCTTCATTGTTAGCTATTGACCAATAATCTAATGTACTCAAAGCAAGATCGTGTTAATTAAACATAGCTTCCAAGCAAGTGAAAATGTGAGCTGCAGAATTAAGGAACCTCATATTCCTGGGAGTCACTTTTTTTTGAGAAGCTCTTCTAGTTTCCTGTGAAGTCTAGTAAGGTTAATTTCCCTTCTACAGCCTGTATTGCAGTGGGGCACTGACAGAAGCTACTTTATGGGCGAGAAATACTGTTTGTTCACTATAAAACTATGTGGGGTTTGAGCCTGGCTTGCTTAACCTTCAGTTTGAGATATAAGTTGTGTCAAAATGACTGTAATTTGCACTGTGTTCATTTTGCCTTTGCAGATAACACAATGGGAAGTGCTGCTCTTTGGTGGAGCAGCTTATCTGTCAGACTGGTCTATGTCTTCCTCCTGTGTGTGTCATTTGGAAAGCAATGTCAGATCCAAGATGAAATGGCTGACTGCAGACATCTGAAGCTTTCTCAAATTCCTTCTGATCTCCCAAACAATATAACGGGTTTGGACATTTCTCATAATCAGCTAAGGCAGCTAGGTCCTGCAAATCTGACCAGGTACAATCAGCTGGTTTACCTGAATGCAGGCTACAACACCATCTCTAAACTGCAACCAGAATTGTGCCAAACTGTGCCCTTGTTGCAGATCCTGAAGTTAGAACATAATGAGTTGCATAAGCTCCCTGACAGAGCCTTTGCTTTCTGCACCAACCTGACTGAGCTCAATCTAGGATATAACAGAATAGATATAAAAAATGATCCTTTCAAAACCCTGGAGGTAAGCTTTAGAAACGCATCTTTTTTGTGTAAATAAAGTTTAAATGAGGAATTTACTGTATTTTCCAGTGCATGTACAGCACAGCTGCCTATTTGCATCTGAAAATACCCAGCATGTACTCTTCCTTCACTGTTTCTAAAGAAAAGGCCTAGTCGCTTCTTGTGTTAGAATACACTGGAGTCTCAGCCACCCTTATGCTCTCCACCCCCTTTTCCCTCTTACATCCCATTGAGGGACCTCTCCACAAAGGATTTGTCCTAATAGCAGAAACAGATACTGTATAGAGCAAAGTGGGTGGTGTGGAATTTGGGTTGCCTGCGGTCTAAAAATGATAGTTAGCCTGAATTCTCAAGGTCAAGGTGTAATTTCTCAGACATGAAGCAGCATTCAGTGCTTAGGCTGAATGTGCTGTCTCCCAGGGCTGCAGGGATTGAGAAAGACTAAAAACTTTCACTCTACCTTCATTTTTCCTTGCAGTTTACATGTGGTTCAGTATTCTTCTCCATGTCATCTATGAGGTTAGGGGACCAGCACATGAGGCAGGAAAAGACTATTCCATTGTCTTGGTACCAGGCAGGGAATCATGTGAAAGGAAGGGCCTAAGAAAAAGAAGAAAATAGAGACAATGTGTAAATTATAATTGTTGTACAATGTTCTAATGAGTGTGCATGTTGTTTTGAACGTCTGAACTCTTCCGCTAAACTCAGTATTCCATTTCAGTTACATAAAATATACTTGCTTACATTGTACAACTGCTGACTCTCAACTAAATATAAATGAATACAGCTAGTTTCTGTGCTGGGAACAGAACTGAAGTTCTGGCCTTCCTCACTTTGCTGCTGCCCTGTTACTGATAGAGGCCAGGCTTGGGGCACATCAAGGCACATTCTGTGGAGTCACCTCTACAGGTGCAGGAGCAGTCTGCACCTGGGCATAAACTGTAGTATTACAAGGTGTACAGCACTGATCTCTGCAGGCTGCTCTGCACTCTTCACCCTTCTCACTTTTGTTTGCAAGGGTGGACCACAGTGAGGGTGGCACACAGGGTTAAATACTGTAGGAGTTATAACTGCAGCCAGCTTAGGCCTTGCTTTTATCATTGTATCTGGAGCAGGAGGGCTTTCAGAGAGTTAACGAATTTTAGATAAAGAAATTTTTTTGGTTTGCAATAGATATTTTAGGAGGTTAAGACCATGAACACAATGTAAGTTACAGATGTGGAAGATACAGAAGGCTTCTTCCTGCAGGAGCTTGAAAGCTGCCATTTGTCTATTACAAACTGACTATAGTATTGCAACTAATTTCTAATCAATAAGACTTTAATGCAATATTTCAAAATGGTTTTGTATTATATAAAATAAAAATAATTTTATACTTTTCTGTCTGCATCTTCTCCCCAGAACTTGAATATTTTGGACCTGTCTCATAATTTTTTGAAGTCAGCAAATTTAGGATTGCAGCAACAATTGAAGAACCTTCGTGAGCTCATATTGGATGGCAATCAAATCACTCGGTTAAGAAAGGATGATTTCAGTTTTCTTAGCAACACCTCATTGAACAGCCTTGATTTGTCATCAAATCCACTGAAAGAGGTAGGAATCATTTCAACAGAAATTCAACAGATGTAAGTATAAAATGGAACTATCCTGATTTATTCTTTATAATTCTATGTCATTTACATCACATTATTGATCTGCTGATGTCAAGGATAAAACCATTCTGTTGTATACAGCGCTACTCCTGACCTCTAGTAATGATACACGTAATTATTTTTCTCCCACTGAAATCAGTAAGAGCGGGTTCGATGTATATCAGAGGTCTCAAGCAAGAGCTAGATCAAGTAGCTCTGTGAACCCTTACCAGGCATTTTCTATGCAAGAGCTTTGTTTATTTTCTATGTGCTGTAGGTGAACAGATGACCTACTTTCTAAGCAGGGAAAAAGTGCAGTATTTGAAAGGCTAATTATACAATATAGGTCTCACTTCCTAGTTAATCACAGGAGCAAATGAATGTTCTCTTCTGGGTACCACAGAGAAATAATACTCCTTCAAAAAAAAAAAAAAGAAGTGGGTAGAAGTCTCTGCCATCTAGCTCACTATTTTTTCTGACCTGCTTCTCAGCACTACAATATGATTCTTTGAAGAATGATGGTAAGTGTTGCTGTTCTAAACTGATTGACCCTCAGCGTATGAATACTGAATTTGCTTGCATTTGGGTTTTTAAGTGTTTTTTTTCTTTATTTGTTGTTTATTTTTTTCTTCCAGTTGATTGATCTTTAAAGAACATGTACATTGAAATTACAAGACTATCTTAAGGTGGCATTATATCACTTATCCACTGCTTAGAGGTGTCCTCTTTCCCTTGGGCCTCTTCATCCCTTCTTCTTTCTGGTACAAGCTTAATGAGGCTATGCACTGAATCACTGGGGAAATTCCACAGAGTTTTTGACTTGGTTAGCTTGTGGTCAGGCTGATTCTCTCTGGTTCACCCCATGACTGCACGTAAGGCCATATTAGCACCAGGGTAAAGCATGTGGAGAAGTAGATGGGACTGCTTCTTTCTTGGACAGTGCTATTTTATGCTAGTTTAAACTGCTCTGATTTTACAATATTGCTGTCGGAAAAGCAGCCTTATGCATTCAAGTTATTCTGACAATTGGAATATTTAATCCTTAAGCTGATACTGGAATCAAAATGAGGAGCCAGCACCATGATGGAGCCTTGGTATTTGTATTGTGGAAGCAAGTCTCTAGTATCACATTCCTAGAGTGTAGCTTCTGCTTACACAAAGAAACTGGGTTTCTTCTTGGCTGTCTGAAGGTCTAAATAACTTTTTTACAGTATATCTGGTTTTGCACTAATATGTTGGTATCCCTAGCAGATACCAATAAAAGAAAGCTGAAGAAAGATATTATCTCAGCTTCTAAGATATTTCTAGTGAAAGAATTTTAGTAGTTGGGTACAAAATTGCAATTAACTGGCATCTCACTAAGCAACTTTCAGCCTTCTTCCAAAAGAGTACTACTACTATTATGATAACAATGTTACAATTTTAGAACTATTATCACACGAAGTAAAAACTCCAAGAAGCATTTGTCTGAATGTGGCTATGGAAGAAATCTGAGCGTAGCAGTTCTATTGTACTTGAAAATCTTGTTTGAAAATCTGTCAAAATTTTGGCTTTGTGGGTCAACTTATATAATCCTTTTGTTTAGGTCAAAACTCTTTTTTCTTTCAGTTTGACATAGGATGTTTACATGCAATTGGAAACCTGCTTGGCCTCATACTGAACAATGTCAACCTTGGTGAAAATTGCACAAAGAAACTTTGCACAGAATTATCAAACACAGCAATTCAGAACCTCTCACTGAGCTGTGTGAAACTTTCATACATTGGCAAATCGACTTTCCAGGGATTGCATGGAACAAATCTTACAGTTTTAAACCTTTCCCAAAATTCTCTGTCTGTGATCGAAGATGACTCATTTCAGTGGTTCTCAAGTTTACAATACTTAAACCTGAAGCATAATAACATTCATTTATCTTCACGTTTATTTTATGGATTATCCAGCCTCAAACATCTGAATCTGATAAATTCAATTAATGGGAAAATTGAAGATTTTTCCTTCCGTTGGTTACACCACCTTGAGTACCTTATAATGGATAATAACAATTTTGCAGGAATAACTCCTAATATGTTCACAGGTCTGAACAACCTGAAGTATCTGAGTCTCTGTAACTGCAACATAAACTTACAAAGAATAACTAATAAAACATTTTCATCACTTGCTAATTCCAGTCTGCAGGTTCTCAACCTCACAAAAACAAGAATATCTACAATAGAAAGTGGGGCATTTTCCACCTTGGGACACCTAAAAATTCTTGATCTTGGTCTTAATGAAATTAGTCAAGAGCTTGAAGGTCATGAATTTAAAGGTCTCAATAATATACAAGATATTTATCTTTCCTACAATAAAAAACTGGATTTGCAAAGTGAATCATTTATTTTTGTCCCAAGCCTTAGAAAACTGATGATGAGAAAGGTAGGCTGCAGTAATCTGGCATTTTCTCCTTCACCTTTTCATCCTCTACGAAATCTGACTGTCCTGGATATCAGCAATAACAATATAGCAAACATGAAAGAAGACTTGTTTGATGGACTTCACAAACTTTACATTCTGGATTTGCAGCACAATAATTTAGCCCGACTTTGGAAACATGCAAATCCAGGCGGCCCAGTCCTTTTTTTAAAAAATCTTCCCAACTTGCATATTCTTAATTTAAAATCAAACGGGCTTGATGAGATTCCAGTTCAGGTTTTCAAGGGTCTGTCTCAATTAAAAACCTTGGATTTAGGATCGAATAATTTGAATTTGCTTCCAGCAACCCTGTTTGATGACCAAGCCTCTCTGAATTCATTGAACCTTCAAAAAAATCTGATAACCTCAGTTGAAGAAAAAGTGTTTGGCCCAGCTTTCAACAGCCTGAGAATTCTGGAGATGGATTCCAATCCATTTGATTGCACCTGTGAAAGCATTTCTTGGTTTGCTGATTGGCTTAATGTGACCCAAGCATATATACCTGGATTGCAATCCCAGTACATTTGCAACACCCCCCCTAAATACCATGGTAGCCTGGTGTTTCATTTTGACAGCTCAGCCTGCAAAGACAGTGCTCCTTTTAAACTTTTGTTTGTGATTACTGCCACTACTGTGACACTATTCATTTTTATTGTTCTTATCATCCATTTAGAAGGGTGGAGAATAGCCTTCTACTGGAATATTTTAGTAAGTCGAATACTTGGTTTTGAAGAACTTGACAGACAGCAAGAAGAGTTTGATTATGATGCCTACATCATTCATGCAAGGCAGGACAAGAATTGGGTGTCTAAGAATTTCATGTCTCTGGAAGAAAACTTTCGAATTAGCTTTTGTTTAGAAGAACGGGACTTCGAAGCAGGCATATCTAAAATTGAAGCCACAATTAACAGTATAAAAAGGAGCAGGAAGATTATTTTTGTTGTGACTGAACACCTCTTACAGGATCCCTGGTGCAAAAAGTGAGTAGGATATAAAATCCAATATGTAAGGGGAAAACTTCTTAACAGATATTTTTTTTTTTAACAGGAAAATCTTTTTTGCTTTTTGTAGTTTAATAAAAAATACTATTTAATTCATAATACCATGCAAATTCTACTTCAATATATTTACATAATATATAATAATTTAAGAAGAAATCCTAAATTAATGAAGTTAATTGCTCCACATGCACCCTAGTGGAAATTTGAATCTCGTAGTCAATGGTGGTGTTTATTTTATTTTTCCGAACAATCAAGCAGATTACTTTCCTTAGAATTACATGCTTGAAATAGAGCAATAATGGGTGAGATCACTAGCATCCAAAGATGATTTTTATTTTCCTTTAAATGAGTCTTTTCACCTTTCCTACGTAGTGATCTCGAAAAGAAAGGCACTTTGCTAAACCAGGCTATATCAAGACAGTAGACTTAGGTTATATTTTTAAAGGATTATTTTTTTTTTCCTTAGTTAGAAGGTAACTCATTTAAAATAAATAATGACAATTTTATGTCACAGAATAGACATTAAGACCCCTATTTGAGTCCAGCCTTTGAGTTTGCAATGTGCTCACATAATACGTGAGCTATTAAAAGAACTGTTTGTCATTTTTCCCTCCACATGAAAGAAAACGTCTTTATCTTATTTTTGCTTCAGTTTTAAGGTGTATCATGCTCTTCAGCAAGCTATTGAACAAAGTCGTGACTCCATCATATTGATCTTTTTTCATGATATCGAAGATTACAAGTTGTATCATGCACTTCGCCTGAGAAGAGGAATGTTCAGATCTCGCTGCATCTTGAACTGGCCAGCCCAGAAAGAACGAGTCGGTGCATTTAATCAGAAATTAGTGATGGCACTTAAATCTAATAGCAAAGTGCACTGAATTTTGACAATACGGATTTGAATTATGGGGTCATGATATTGCATATTTTCTATCCTTGGAAAATTAATAAGCCTTCAAGAAGACCTGAAAAAGTTTGTCATGCTGGAAAGATATGTATGAGTTACTATAATTTAAATTTACTTGTCTATAGTCACATTTTTGTTGATATTTTAATTGACCTGCACTGAAGTGACATCATGATTGATTGTCATTTCAACCTGTGCATCTACAGTGTGATGCAAATTCTGAAAAGCAGTGAGAGTGGCTGAAGTTCTAGGAAAAATGTCCACCAATGAAGAGCAGCATAGACTCTACTTTAAAGGGATATGCGAAACACAACACAGTGATAAAATAGCAAGTTCTGTGTAGAAGGTAGGTGGACACTGCTGCTTGCTTTCATAAAACAAGGGGAGATTCAGTAAAATTAAAATTTGAAAGCATTCCTTCTGAAGCACAGTGAGTAACATGGACAAATATTTCATGAAACAGCAGAGTTTCAAAGTGACTTTAAAGCTTTTGTTTAAAGAGAAAGCCACTTGATTCTGAAAGATTGTTTATGCTTTCTGGGTGTGGCTGGTACTGGTGACAATCAAAACCAAATTTTCTGACTAATGAGTTAACTGATTTAATCAATGTGGTATGATTAAAAGAAGAATTTACTCTTCCCTACTGAATTTCAGAGAGCTGGCAGAAAGACAATTCTTTGAATGCATGTAAAATTATATGTAGGCCTTTAAATAGAACTTGAAATCAATGTGAAACATGGCTAAGGGCACAGCTGTATAAACTGAATACAGGCACAGGTAGCATTAACTAGAAGACAACTATGTGGAGAAGGTGGTGCTACTGCAATTTCATTACCAAAAACTTTGTTACTGGTGAACCCTCTACCCCTGCAAAAGAAATAGTTTTAAACCTGATCAGGAATATTATTGTGACTACAGGTAGAGTAGCAGAAAAACTTCAAAAGCAGATTAATTTCAAAATCATTGTTTCCTTTTTCTTTATGATTGTATATGGTTTTGCCCTTGATAGCTAAAAAGAAAACTGTAATGAAATCAGAATTCTGTTGTTTAATTTCTTATATAGTAATCTAGTTTGTTTTTTCCTTAACATACTTCACAAAAACATGGGCTAGTTGGCAGTTGCTAAAGCATTAAAGTTCAAGCACATGGGCTAGTATCTTCATTTGGAGAGAGCTGAGCACCAGCCAAGTGTGCTCTGAAAGGATGTTTCTGATGTTTGAGACTTGTAATTTTATGGAGTATTGAGCACAATTTATTGTAAATTAGACAGTAGACGGTCATTTGTATGTTTTCTGTTAATATGTAATTGCTGCTCCAAGGACCTTATAAAACACTTTTAGTAAGTGTGTGATTCTTCAGTATCTCAGTAAGGTTTTTAAATTGCCTTTTCCTCCCCTAGCACTTCCCTCGTCAGTTTCAATGCCATCATTGTTCCAAGAATGCTGTTTTACTTTTTTAGAAAACAGCTTTCAGACAGTTCAATACTTATCATTGTGAGAAGCTTTTCTCATTATTTGTTATATGCATAGATGAAAAACCTTGGTTTTTAATAGGTTTGTATGTCCCATGATGATAAAAATTGTAAATGAGAAAAATAATTAAATAGATTTTGCACACACCAGAAGAATGAAGGGTGTAGAGACTTGTCTTCACTTGCTGGGTAAGTCCTGAGTGAAAACAGAAAAGGCTTTGTTTACAGTTGAAGTGATAGATGATGATTCCCTAATTACAGTAATAGGATTATCTCCATTGTGATGCTTTCATCTCATCTTTCTGACCTTTTCAGAGGAAGTGACAAATTCTTTCTTCATGCTCAGGCCATGAAAGCTGAGGAGGCAAGTTGGTAAGAATGTTGTGCCAGGTATGCACTATGTCAGTCGTTCTTCCTCTTATTTAAAGACTAGCATGTGAACAGGTTCCTATGTTTCTTAAATCTGTAATGACACATAGTAGCAGAATTTCTCATTCCACATCAATATGAATAGTTTAGAAAATGTTAGCCATTCACATGGGTATTAAAAATTACACAAAGATGCAGAGGAAGTACGGAAAAACACTGAGGTCAAATGTGATACAAGGGGACAGACTAGATGATCAAATAGTCTTTTATGGCCCTTAACACCTGAAAAATGACAGCTTTGCTAAATTCTATAAAGATTTTTCTTGTTACCAAATGCCTCCAAAGATGGTTTCAGAACAGTGAAAAAATCCCATGTTATGAATGCTTAATTTTGTAATATGGCTGAGAATACAAACTAAGAGTACTTGCTGATGAGTGAAAATCATTTTTAAATGGTAAAATCATGATGATGCATTAGGCAGTTATTTTAATACCTACATTCACTTTAAAATATTTTACAACAGAAAAAAGACCCCTCAACATTATAAAAGCTCAAAATGGGGATTAGACTGTTAAAAAAAAAGGCAAAAGGAATAAACCAATGGTAATCATCAATTATACTTGACATAGAATTTTCATAGAATTTTTCCCTGTTTGTCTGAAAGTTACCTACTTCTGCTCTGCTCCTGTACATTTGTCTGACAGTATTATTGAGAGTAAATAAATGGGCTTACCATGGTGAAGAATTGTAAATGCTTTCAAGATTAACAGACCTAGCTGGGTAGTTTCATTGCAGCAGGCAGCATCAGACTATATTATGCTGATTTGCTGAGGAGTTGGATACCAGATGAATGAAAAATGGTTCAAAACTTGTAGTGTTAAAGAGATTACCTAGAACTAAAGAGGAATCATCTGTACTGAAAGCAGAATATCTAAAGCACTTGAGCGAGGCAGAATGCTCAAGTCTGTAGATTTGGGGTAGAACTTGACTTGTTCCGTGGTTCTTGAAGAGCGGGGAGTAATGAACAAGTTACACAGTGATGATCATAATAGGTTCTCTTCCAGGTCTTCATGCAGGGTTGCTTCCGGGCTGCAACTGAAATAAATACACTACACCGACATGCTCAATTATGCTACTTTCACTGTGGCTCAGTCAAGGCTTTTTGGTATGGTGAGGAATAAATGCAGATTGTGCTGCTGTTTGATTTATGTGGACCTATCCCATAAGGTTTGGTCAGAACTTACTTACTTCAGTTTGTAACAAAAAAAGTCCAAGAATGTCCCAGTTTCAAATCTCAGTCCCCTACCTGATGTCATGTGTGCGCTGCTCTGCCAGCTGATTGCACAACTTGATGTGCTAAGAAGACAAGGCAGGGATAAAATTCCCAGATTTATAACCTTGGTTGTTATCTACCAGCAGCTGACAGGTTTAAATTGATAATGCAGCTGTTTGCTTCATGTATGTTCCTGGGCTTGTACATATAAAGTGACAGTGCTATTCTTCAACTTCTGCTGCTCTTTCAGTTGCTGCCAAGGGCCACGCTACCTGCTGTGTTCTGAGCTGACACATTTGCCTATCCATAATACCAGCCATTAGTGTCCCCAAACTCCTGCTGGTGTGATCAAGCTTCTCTCTATCCACCCAGAAATCCTGTGCAAAGCTAGGACAGTGTTTGACTCGTCCCTGACTCGTGTGCCTCCAGTGGTCTGGTTTGTGCCAGTGATGCTGGTACGTGTACCAAGAGTGAAAGGGCTTTGGTCCTGACACACTCTCTTGCTCTCCAAGCTGCCTGGGATTGTCATTGTTATCTTTGTCCGTGAGCTGCTGTCCCTCCGCACCTTCCTTTTGCAGCTGCCTAACATGGTGTGAAGAGCTGTGCTGTATTGGGTCCATCTGGGCTCCCATTTGTCTTAAACTCTTTCCGCACAGAAATGCATGAAGGCTGTGAAGCAGGGCCCTGTGACCCCGGCAGATGGAGTTTTTTTCTGCCCCTTAGTCTCAGGTAGCGTGTTAATTTTAAAAGGGAAAACGCCACACTTTATTTCGTTCGCTAACAGCTTTCTGCCCCGCGCTTCCACGCGACTCGGCTCACAGGGCTGGCCTGCGCGGTGCACCGAGGGCGGTGCGTGCCTCGGCGGGGTTTGTTTAGCCTAGCAACGCCCGTCGGGCTGGGTAGCTCCTGCCGGGAGGGCCTGCGCCTGCCCCGCCCGGGCCTGCTGCTGCGGGAAGGGGCTACCGCCCGCCCGGGCCATGAAGGTGGCGGCGCTGGAGCTGGGCGCCCTGCTCGCCAAGCTGCGCCGCTCCCCGGCCACGCCGGGGCCCCGCGCCCCGCCGGCCCCCGGCCCGCGCCCCCTGTCCGGCGGCTGCGGTCCGGGCACCGCGGTGCCGTCAGGGGGAGAGGGCGGCCGCCCCCCGCGTGCGGCCCCTGCCGCGGCAGACAAGGAGCCCGGGGGCCGGGCGGGCGCCAAGGCCCTGCTCGTCACCCTGCCCGGTATCGGGGAAGAGGCGGTGATGGAGGAGAGTGACGGCCGGGAGACGGCCGGCAGCCCGCAGCTCCCTGCGTGAGTGCGCTCCTGAAACATGGGGGGTGGTGGTGACTGTGTGTGCGCGCCCCCCTCCCCTGGGGTTTCACTCAGCCTCTTCTGCCTCTGCTTGTCCTGAGAGGTACTGAACATCTCCCTGTGCTGGAGTTTCCTTCCCTCAGGGGTATGCTGAAGGTAGGAAGGCGCACCTCTCAAGAGCAAAGTGATGGATTGCACGGGAGTTGTTTTCGGTGCCTGGGAGAAGCAAAGAGCTGGAATGTGCTCAGTGTCGCGTTTGGAAGGCGGGCGGGTGTATGCTGGGGGAATGGAGCTCAGAGCCCGGTCCCGAGGGGCGCAGCGCCTCGGGCTTGCAGGGGGAGCGCAGCGGGTGCCGAGCTTCTGTAGGACCGATAAAGTTACCTCAAACGAGTGTAGGCGTTGTAGCAAAGCCTGTTCCGGGGCTGCAGCTGTGCATCAAAGCAAACGTTTCAGTCACTGCCTTGTAAAATAACGGGTGTGAAACTTCGGATGCCTCTGTTTAATCTTCAAGCTACACCTTGGAAACGTTTAGGTTTTGATGAAGATAGAAGTGTGGTAAGTATGGGTGCTGTAGGATTCAGTTGATATTTTGCTAAAGCAAAGGT